GGGGAGGAGGGGGGTAGCCTCTCCGTTAACGGTATCTGCTCGTGGATGACGGTATCCAATAAGTGAGAAATCCCCTATGCTACACACTGCAGTTAATATCAGCCGCGCAGAACACCGAGCCGTATCGTTCACGAGACACGCGCACGATATACAATGGAAAAAAAATCACGAGATGCGCAAGAGAGAGGGTTGGAGAGAAACTTGCGCGAAACACGTGTCGAAGGCGGGAACAAACGAAAAACGTCCTTCGCGCGCGAGCGCGAAACTGAAGTGAGTACAGCGCGCGGCGAGTGGTAACACAAGCGGTAAAACGAGACACGGCGTTGTTCAATCGAAAACAAACTACACCGAGGACGAAGGGAGAAACGATCCAAGTACGCGCGCAGCCGATCGTCCCCCCACGGACACACCCTGTCTGTTTTCTCCCTACATAGCACACTTTATCCGAAGGACGTCCTGAGAATGTCCTTCGGAACGTCTCCTGAACATCTAGAACGTCCCTTGGAACGTCTATACTCGTATGAGTCCTCCTTACTCTTTAAAATGTTTACAGTAAATCTCACTCTGAAGAGTGAAATCTCACTCTCAAAGATTGAATTGAGTCACTCTCTCTCTTTCAAGACTCACTCAATTTTCACTCCTTACAGTAAGGATTCCACTCCAAAGAGTTTAGAGCTTTTTTTTTTCATCTCTTAGCATCCCGTATTCACGCGACTGTCCACAGACGTTTCGAGTCGTTTCGACCCCTTAATTAATATTGCACGTACCGGCACACGGGGAGGGGGCTACGTACCCGGCGACGTTTTTCTTTTTTTTTTTTTTAACTTTATGTCACGACCGCCAGACCGTCGCCCGAAACAACGAACGAAATCGACCGTCGCGAATCTGGATCCAAGCATGCTACTCGCGCAATCGTATAGATTGCGGAGTCGCGGTTGCTACGATCCAACGATCTCGCACGTCGACATGTGTATAATGTATAAAAAGAAAGAAACAAATATAAACGAATAACAAAGAGTCGTATCTCATCGAGTCTCGATTGTAGTTCTCGATCGAACGGATCCTCGCGGGGATCCGCACTTGCCCCTGGAACGAGGCCAATCCTTTGATCACGATGCGCTCGAACCGCATCTCCATGATCTTCTCCTGTCTCCTTCCCATCCATTTTCCTCTACCTCCTCTCCTTCTTACATACTTGTCGCTCAAAAAAAAAAAGCGAACGTTACAAATATTATATATAATTACGTGTTGTACACGCACGGAGTACGTGCATATACAAACTATATACTTAACGTGATTTATTCGCGCGCGTCCGCGATCGAGGCGGATCGCTCGATTCACGTCGGGGACGCACCTGTGTATACATCTTTCATGATCCGCAGCGCGCGGAGGATCACTCTCTCCGCGAATCAACTAGTCACGCTTACACTATAGAGATTCATGTCATTATTATTCCCTAGTCGATACTTTAATCGTTTTTAATTATTACGTTACTAATTACGGTACAGAACTAGCAATCAACGCCCTACGGTGAACCATCTCGTATACGCCCGCCGGGCGGCAACCGGCTCTCTTTTTCGTCCGCCCGCCCTCACACAGAGTGTTCGCGGATTTCTTGCCGGATGTCCGCAACCGGTCGCGCGCAACCCTACATCTCGTCTTGAGCTGAGAACATTCAGGCGCCGCGCCCTGGAGGAGAAATACCTCCGTTTCCCTGCGAGCGCGACGCGAAACGCACATGTATATATTACTCTATTTAAAATAATAATAGTCAGTCCTTGACCCCTCGCCTCGATTTCCGCCCGTCCCAACTCGCATCTCCTGTGGAAACGACCGTCGAATGCCGAAAATGAATTCGAAGTTATTTCGTTTTTCTTCCTTTCTTCTTCTTCTTCTTCTTTTTTTTTTTTTGGTATTTTCCATTGTAGTCTTCGTGTAGGCCAACGAAGTTTTCGGCACCCATACGAATGCGATCGCGTTAGAATCTTCCTTCCCGTCTCGTTCGACCTCGTTAATCTTCATCACGACTAGCTGTGCCCTGCCGTCTCGTCTTTTAGGTGGTTTCGAAGATTATCTCTTCATGAGGCCCTTGCGAGGATAACCGAGCCGCTGTCTGTCGCGGGACGCCCTCTCTCTCCGAGTAACTGTTTGAACCCCAATTTTAACATCATTTTAGTCTGAGACTTCGTACTTTTATTCAGTAACTCTTTATAAAATTGTAGTAATGGATATATTAGAAAATAATAATTCCTGTACACGATCTCCATTTATATATCTTGCTGTATTTTTTTTTTTTTTTTTTTTGAGCTGCTTGTAATAAGCGGGTCGATTATAAATTAAGGAAGCCAGTACCCAGGTTCACTGCCGATGACACCTAACCCCGACGGTTTATGGATCGTTAAGGGATCGTTATACCGTCGTAACGTACTCACGCAGCTCAGGAGATTCCGCCTTCAACCAAGGATCGTCGTACTTGGACACTTCCTCGCTGCGAGTTCTTCCAGGCGGTTTGGGACGCTCGCGAGGATGCATGCGCGGTCCCTCTTCGCTCAACGATCTCTTCGTTGCATCTATGTGCTTCGGCACCTCCAGCAGGGCCTTGGTTCTGGTCAACTGGGGCCTTTGTCGTTTAGTCTCCTCACTAGCAGCACGTATTATTACCGTCGGTGGGGGCGGCCCGGCCTGGGGCAGTCTGTCCTCCAGAGGACTGGTAGCGGGGAGGGGTGTTTTCACTCTGATCGCACCCTTTCGCCTAAGCCGGGACTTGCCGGGCTTGCGTGCCGGTGAGTATTCCGGCGAGTAATCCGGCTGCACGATACTCTTCCGCTTAGCGGTGGGCGTGGTAGGCTCCCTTGGCGACCAGATCGGCGTCGACAGGTCATCCGGCGTGGTCGCCTTTTTCGGCGGTGTCTTCTCCGGCGACTCGTCTCTCCAGCCGCCTTGGTATAGCGGGAATGGCGCGACCTGATTGAGGATCTTCCACCGGAACTCCTCGTCGTCGCTCTTGCTGGGTGTCGCTGGTTCCGGCGGCGGACAGTGCGTAGGCGTGACATTGTGAAAGGGTGACCATTTCTTGTCGTCCTCGATTACCTCGACTGGGATTTCGCCCGGTGATTCGTCGTACGGCGTCCACTTGATATCGCTAATGTGCTTCTGCTCGCGCTTTCTTATCCCAATTGTCGGCAACGGCGACGAGTCCTCATACGGTGCCCACTTGGTGCTGGTGATACTGATCTCTGGTGAAATCAGACGTCGCACAATTCTGTTCTCCAGTTTGTTTACTTGTCGTGGATCCGGCTCTGGCGACATGCTCCTGCGTATGCTGTACTTGGGCCGTTCCCGTAGACTCTTGCTCTTCGTCTCGTCCTGGCTCCTGTACCACTTCGGCGCCTTTTTCTCGGCGGGCAGAGAGACGTGTGGCTTCATGGCCCATCTTGCTCGTATCGGCTTCTTGCTCTCCACCGGGCTGATGACCTTCTCCTTCTCCTTTTCTTTATCCTTGTCTTTATCTCTTTGCGAGAAGCCCCATCTCCGCGAACTTTCGCTTCTCACTTGAGCGGAGCGTTCCAGTTTGGGTCGATCTCTGGCCTTTCCTCTGGCGGCTCTTGGATCCTCGCTGACTTGCCTCTTCACCTCTGGCTTCTCCCATGGCACGGCCGGCTCCTCGGGCGTCAGCGACTTCGAGTAGTACAATTTTTTCTCCTCCTTCTTCATAATCGGCTTTTCTGGTTCCTTCTGTTCCGGTTTCACTTCCACTGGTGACGCGGGTGGTGGTGTCTTCACCTTGGGACAGGTACATCTGGGCTTCGGATTCGGCATCACGTCCGGCACCTGCAACCATCTGGCCTCCCTCGCGAATCTGGTGTCGTCGCTGCTGTGCTTCCTTAGGTCGTGCATCGGTGTCAGCAGTTTTTCTGGCCTGATCGACCACTTGTCCGTCTCTGCACTGTGATGCTTTCTGAGATCGCCGCGATGTACACCTTCCGGTTTCTTCTTTCCCGGAGTTAAACTGTGGCAGCTGCACTTGGTCTTTCTGGCAAGATCCAAGTCCGTAGTCGAGGTATGAAGCTCCCAGCGAAACTCTGTACCCTCGCTGGTGCGCCTTCTTAGATCCCAGATCGCCTCGTCGGGCGACAAAAAGCTGCTGGTACTCCATGTTACCTCGGTGCTGCGTATCCTCAGGAAACTGGCGCGTTCTCTACGAGTGTCAGCCTGGCCACAGGTACAGAGCTTTGTCGGTGTTCTTTGCGACTCCAGCGGTGCCGGTTCGATGGCGTCCAAGTCCTCGATCATCCATGAGATCTCCTCGCGACGCCGTCGGCCGCACGACGGGCAAAATATGTCGTCGTCGCGACTAGACCGCGGCTGCGGGCGGGGCAACGTCGGAGTCGAAGTCGAGGTCGATGCGGTGGGGTCAAGCTGCGAGAGCGGCTCCACGTCGTCGTGACGGCCATCGTCAGAGCGTCGTGACGTCGCAGCCGTGCCTGGCGATGCGCACCAGCAGGTGTGTGTAGCTCCGTCAAGCTGCCTTGGTGGGTACCGCGACTCCGGAGACGACGAGGCTCCGTTCGAGGCCACTGCCAGACAGACTTCCGCGTTCGCTGGAACCGCAGGCCTGTTCAAAATTGCAGATTAGAATTAGACTCGATGTGATTTTAATAATTTCATTTTGTCGCGCGATTTTTCTTGAACAATTCTTTGAGGAGGATATAAGAGGAAAATTATTAATCATCTCTTATCAAATAAATTATATTTTTGATTTTAATATATAAAGACATATTTTAAAGTTTCTTTTATTGATTTATATATGTTTCAAACACAAAAATTATACAATAGTATAAGTAATTTACAAATTAGCAGAATCAAATAATTATATGAAATTCTTAAAGTGGAAATTTTATATTATTCCTTTATTTCAAAAATAACACAAAAAGTGATTTTCAAGTTATTACTACGAATGAGTTAAGTAAATATTAAAAGTGATCTAACTTAATTTCGTAAAAAATCATCATACTCGTTATGATATGACTAAAGAAAAAAAGATTTTTTTTAAGTTTTGAAATAAAAATGACATTTAATTATATTAAAAATATATTCTTTTTGCTGCAACATTATTTGATTAGACAATAATTTTCCGTCAAGTTAAAAAATAGTCTTTCCTCTTTTCTGGGAATCTTGTTTTATTTAATTGTCACCTTTGGAACAAGAAACTCTATCATTGTGCTAATAAAATTAAGTAACAAGATACAGAATGTACGTGATTTTCAAAGTATTTATTATAAAGTTTTAACAATAGAACGTACTTTCAGCTCGCTGAAGATCTCTGTGAAGAAACCGGGCTCGCTGTTAATTCGCAACATTTCGGAGCTAAGTCGGTTGACGATCAGGAGACATCGGTCCCAGAACTTGTCCTTGCTGTCCTCGACGAGGAATGGCTTCAGCGGGTAACTAATCTCGTTACCCATGTAACTGTAGCTCAGGTAAAGACACGTCAATACCGTCGCTTGGAGCTCCTTCTCAGACGCCTCATCTCCATCGACAAGCTCTTTCACCAGCATATACACGAACACTACGTTGGCAGGGTTTATGAAGGGCACGTCCTGATAAACAAAAAAATATAAATATGTAATTAAAATTTTACATATTTTATTTAATAATGCATATTAGTCTAATTTATAAAATAAATGAAACATGTTCGTTTTGTACAAATAATTATATACTAATGGTATTTGAATTGTCCAGAAATATTTTACTTTTTAAATTTAATTTTTTAAGTAAAACTTATACATCCATAAACGTAATTACGTAAAATAATATGATTCATATCTAAAGTACATCACTTTGTAACATAATTATCAGCGGTGTATCTCAGATAACAATGAACGATAAAAATAAAGTTCGTGACGACTTGCAATTATGAAACTGGAGATTTTTTTTTTAATAATGTGTTCATTAGATATTTCTCTAAGGTTGCATTTTAATGTTGCCCACACTGACATAATTTTGAGACAAGTTGAGTGAACTTAACTCTCTCAATATATAATCGCATCGTTGATATTATATCATCGTTAATATGTAAACTATGTTTTTACGTATGGCACTAATTACATAGTGGTTTGCTGTGTTGTATAATGTTGCATTTGTGTTGAATATTTCCCTATAGACTTTAGAGAGACACACGTGTGTTGTACACGCGTGTCAGTATAAATACGTATAGGCATATATATCGAACGCCAGCGCTTTGGATACAAATATAGTCACATAGATGTTAATTAGTGCGGATACACATATAAGGAGAATATATCGTATAAATAGAGAATCTATTTATACTTAATAAGACCTCCGTTAGCCATGAAACATAAAAGAAAATGTGCAATTAAGTACATCTATGTATACAACCATATTATTTTTGTACGCACACATACACGCGCGCGCGCACGCACACGCATACCTATGTATGTGTATGTATTGTCTTTGTACACATACACGTATACATACATGAATACGCAAGTCAATAAAAATTTATAAAATTTTGTACAATAAAAGTGAAATGATTTTTCTTATACCATTGTTATATTAAAAGTAAAGAAATATCTACACGTATTTTCTTAAGTTAACAGAGTTATTCCAAACCACACATCTTGCTTGATATAAAGGAAAACATGTACGCGTTAATAGAGAGAGAGAGAGAGAGAATATTAAACAAATATTATATATTGCAATTAATTAATAAAAATATATCAAATTTTATGTAATATACTAAATCATTATCAAATTTATCCAACTATGCATCAATTAATTTCATAAATTAATGAATACCTACAATTAATAAACAGTTTGTTTATTTCATTTATTAAATACGTTACATTAAATATGAATACAATATAAACGAATCCAATATTAATTAAGTTTGAAGAGGTAGATACATTCATTTGATCTGGTTTTTAAATACAATTTGAAATACTAGCTTGACTTATATTATTGTAAATAAATAATATTACCGTCAATTTATAAACAGAAGTATATTATACGTATTATTTGACAACACAATGTGATAATATTATGTAAATATAATTATATATTGTACGTATTATATTAAAATAATTTAATTTTAATTTGTTAACAAAATTAACTAATTATTCATTATACGACAAATAGTACTTATACATATAACGAACTGTTCTCATTTAAGAGAAAAGTATGTGTACGATATGTACAATATTATATGTCTCAAGGGAGAACCTGATGTGCACGCATCAGTTCGCAGCGTGCACGCCAAGACGGAGCGAGTCGTGTTAACGCGCATGGATGCATCGGCTCATGGTGCAGGAGGAGCGTAGGTGCATCGATTCGTAAGAGGTGGTGCACGGCGTGGTGCGATGCGGCCGTCGCACATGTGGGTGCATTAAGCGCGGTGAGGCCACATCGGTGACCCGGGGAGGATCGATGCCCTCGATACGTTTTCCCCGCGCGATCGGCAACCTGCTGCTGTTTTTATTGTTCGCGCCGCATAGTCGGCCGCCTCGTTCCTCGTTAGCCGCGTCTCTCGGCTTAATGCACATTACGCCGCGCGCACTCACGTTTGCAATTTGCTCACACGCCAGGATGCGCGTCCCCCTCTGCCGCCGTACGACGCTGGCAGGGCCGACGACACTTCTCGGCGACGGCGACACGCCCTCGTGCCACCGCCGGAGGATAATCGGAGCAGTGCACCTTGTACAATGCAGTGGAAAGGAAAAGGGAGATGCGCACGCGGCCTCGCATAAATGTATCAGGGATTCTTTCGATCCTCCTGCGAAAACCTGAGTGCCTGACGAACCGCTAATCTAATCAGACAGCTACTGCTTTAACGTATAGACGAAATTGTTTGCAGCGTACAACTCTCCGTTTCACAAATTCACTCTATCACTTTATACAACACATTACAGTTCGAGTCGATTTACTGTTTTTAAATTTTTATATATATAGTTCAGCGATTATATTTAAAAAAAGGACAGATTTAAATAGACTAAACATGAATAATAATGATGCAAATAATAATAATAATATAAAGTGAATAATAGATTATGAAATCGCGATTCGCGTTATTACTATTATTGCAACAAATATTTCATGAATCGCACCAGCTAATAATTACCTAGAATAAATTTTTTAACACTAAAAATACTAGTGTTTCTTACTAAAAGGAACAAGTAAATATTTTACTACGAAATTAAAATTTTGATAAAAAGATTCTAATATTTTATCAGTATAAAAAACATAATTATTGAAAAAGCAAAAATTTCAGAATCCTATCTTTTATACAAAAAATATATGATATTAATCTGAAAAATAATGGTCAATAATGACCGTTCGATACTTCTAATGTCAAATTACAATCAATTAATTGCAAGTATAACCGCTTCGTTTAATGCATTCGAGTTTACTTTAATTGTCACAGCAAATTTTTCCTTTTTTAGCACCTAGCACTTAATTGTTTTAAATATTTAAGATCTCCTGAAAATCTTCAATGTATAAAAAGACTGTACTTTTGTAGTTAAGATAGGTGACGTGTTTTAGCGAATGAATTATTGATGGTATTGCGAATAGATTGCGTGATGCTATCGAGAAAAATTATTCATAGACAGTACCTATCGACGAAGATACGTTTTATGTCTACAACTTGTGACATAAAACACGTTGCGCGAGTGAAAAAGTATTATTCATAAAATTATATAGCGAGTTATTTGCATCTTTTATTTAAAAACAATCAGTTTACTTCAAAATTTTTTTATTTCCAGCCACTTGAATCGTTTTCTTAAATTCAATTTTCTCAATATAAAATCCTTTTTTATTGTGAAAACATCAAGAGTGAAAACATTAAGAAGTGAAAGAAAAATATGAAAAATTGTGAAAAAAATGTAGAACAATTTTTCATAATGTTTTTGCGTTTATCATTATTATTTCCTAAAGAGTAGACTGTTTAAAGCTTTCGCTGTCGCATGCACGATTCATTAGGGTTTCCACGTGCTTCCGCTGACTCGTGAAGAGGCAACCCTCTCGATCAGGTACAACATCGCTCAAGAGTCTCGAGAGCCGCAGGCCGCGATGCAGAATTAGGGGTGCCAATATACCCGGCGAGTATACATATATCTCCTCTACGTCGGTCGATATTCACCGCAGGGGTGAGCGGCCTGCTCTACTACCATAGAACTCCGCGCGTTATTCGAGTCGTCTTTGCGTAGACCTAAACCTTTTAATTAAATTTCCAAGACTACGAATATATGTATAACTAGGGTTCACCGGATAACGCGCGAGTGCAGTACTTGGACCAATTAGCGACATAGTCGGCATGCACACGAAACACCCTCAACCGCAACGACAATCTGACGCTTAGTCGGCTCAGGGATGTCCCAGATGGAACTTTGCAAGGACCCGAATCCACGTGAATTACAATTAACCCCTGAGCTATGCATTTGTGTAATTAAATTATGCAAATTTACGGAACATACGTTGCGAGCGCAATATCCGTATGCTGCCAACCGATATCCGATTTTGGTTGATTCTAATTTTCGATGTCAACAGTCGCATAAAAGTCAACCAACCGATTCTTAATTGTATCGTCTCAATTGCCTCTTCCGATCATCGGGGTGCTTCCCGAAGATAATTAATTAGGTGCCATGTGACATGTGATGTATGACACACGTGCTGCGCGCGAGGAACGTGACAGGAACGGAATTTTCAATCTCAGCCATGTACGGTTTCCTTTTAATCAGATTTTCAGCAACGCGACAGCCGGATTTGATCTTGTTTCATATCCAGACGAAACCGATTGGTGAATAGAATCATCTATGAACGCAGTTTACAAGAGATAGTTTGTTCGCGTGCTTTGACGTCTCGATGAAATAAAATGATAGTGACGTATATAGAGACGTAGATATTCAATCAATATTTCATTTAAGCTTATTGTTGAAATAACTTATTACGGTAAATGCGATTGAACGTACACTGCGTATCGGATATCACAAGAAGTTGCTCTTGCAGGATATATTTGTTTTACAAATTGTTAAAAACAAATTTTGTTTATAATGTTTTCTCGATAAATGACTTTTTATCATCAATATACTATCATTAAAAGACTTATATTAAATATTTAAAAAAATTGATAATATTATATATTACGAAGTAAATAATATTTTTTTGTGACTAATATTAGTAGCGATTGAATAAGTCCATGCATAGATCTACATATATATTTTCTCCCTCCCCCCCGCCCACACACACACATATTAACATTCAATTTTATTATAAAATACACTAATCGTATAAGCTGTCATATCTATCTCCTTATATATGATACACGGTCACGCTTCGTGGTTATCTTTATACACGTGCACATCGCAGCGTGGTTTGTAGACACACGCTCAGAGTGTACTCTCAGGATGAACCGCATACACATATATTACACTTGAGAAATTAGATTTAAGCACGCGCAAGATCGATTTGTAGTTTGCCGATGCACTTCAATATTTCGGAACGTTCAGAGCGTTGAGTAAAGATAAATAGCGTTTCGTTCTATAAAAAGAACACACAAAATAGAATTTCTTTGTTCTGTGTTTAT